TTTTCCTCTTGGAGCATTGCAAGGCAGAAGGAGAAAGTTAGGGAGGATGTCTCCTGGCCCGCTCCCCACCCTCCATGGTCCAGCTAAGCAAGGAAGACGAATCAGTTGGTTCATGGAGCAGGTTGATTGCAGAAGGGTCACACATATGGCCTGTATATGAACTACTGCCCCTTCCCTCCACCCCTTTCTGTTCCCTTGACAACTTTTCTTTTTTCACTCACAATCCCTTCCGTACCCCCGGCTGCCTGCCTACCATCGGAGAAGGGATTGGTGACGTAGGAAACATTTCTAGAACTGTCGCACAGAAGATGGGGGTGCAGGAATTCAGCATCCCCCAAACAGAGACTTTCTATCCCCTGGATTTTGCGTCCTGCCAAAATCACTGCAGATAAAATGGACAGATCCTCAGTTGAACCTTTGGCATCATCACAAAGAGAGGCTTTGTGGGAATACATCCAAAGGAGTCCCCCGCACTGGCACCAAAGCAGAGAATCCCGCAAGGCGGGCATGTTATCTGTCAGAACAAGCCAGCATTAATTTTCCTTGATTGCTATCTGTGCTCTGTAGAGCTGATCTAGTTTAACCGCCGCCATCAACTGTGCAATTACGGCTTCATATTGCTTTTTATTTATGTAAACAAATGTTGGAAACTCTTAACTATTGAGAATAAAAAGATGGAAATGTGCCATTTTGATCAGACTTTACAATGTTCATAACAAACTGGTCCAAAACATGCATATGTTGCTGAAAAATTGCAATTGGAGCCATCTGTGGTGCTGCAAGGATGGGGAAGGGTTATAGATAGCAAACAAGCAAGCAGATGTTGCCAAAAGTTAGCTAACATCAAGACATAACTGAGCTGTGGTGGCGCAGTGGTTAGAGTGCAGTACTGCAAGCTAATTCTGCTGACTGCCAGGGGTTCGATCCTCGCCACCTCAAGGTAGACTCAGCCTTCCATCCTTCTAAAGTTGATAAAATGAGGACCCAGATTGTTGGGGGCATTATGCTGTCTCTATAAACCACTTAGAGAGGGCTGTAAAGCACTATGAAGCGGTATATAAGTCTACGTGCTATTGCTACTACTATAATAGACACCTAATTCCAAGACAGGATTTGGTCTGACTAAACTCTAAACATGAACAGCAGTCTTGTTTTGCAAAATCTGGGAAGTTTTTTCTTCACTGGTTACTTCACCTGAAACAAAATGCTATACTTTTCGCAGTCATGAACTGTGCAGTGATGACATTCACATAACACAGTGGTTCTCAACCTGTGGGTCAGGACCCCATTTGGGGTCGATTGACCATTTCACGGGGGTCGCCAAGCAAGGCTGTCCGCCATTTTTTTTTGTCCGCCATTTTTTTTGTCCGCCATTTTTTCCCCATTTTCCGGCGGGTGCCTTACCTCCCTTGGGCTGGGCCAGCTGGTGGTTGGCCTGCTCCGTCTCTGCCGCTTGCCAGCTACGCCTCGGCCGGCGCAGGGGGCGGAACCACGCATGTGCGGCGCTCCCGGGCAGGGAAAGTCCTCGACTTACGTCCGGTTGGGTAGTCCTCGACTTACGAGCGGTTTAGTCCTCGACTTACGACCGGTTTAGTCCTCGACTTACGACCGGTTTAGTCCTCGACTTACGACCGGTTGGGGTCGTGGCATTAAAAAGGTTGAGAACCACTGACATAACACTTCAATACAACATTCAGAAGTTTAAATATAATGTTTTTATGTCCAGTGTTTGCTACAAGTTTATTGCCTCCTATTGCTTGCTTGCTTGCTTGCTTGCTTGCTTATGTGCCATCAAATCAGTGCTGACATTTAGCAGCCACATAGACAGACCTTGGGGAGGGTGATCTGTCTCCAGTGTGGCCATTCAGGTCTCCCAACAGTAGTGGAGAAACAAACCAACAAGTCGCTTATGCATGAGACAGAAGAGAAACAACAGGGAGAAAGCATATTTTACGCATGCAGTAAACTCATACTGCCATAATACTGTGGGATCTTTCTAGTATCCAAATAGCAATGCTCGCAGATCACATACTTAGGACATTTTTCTCTATTTGAGGATGTGGGCCTGAATTTAATGCCACTCTTGAAGTTAGGTAATACCACTTTATTTGTATCTGCAAATGGGACAAAACATCTGAGAAAACCAGAAGTGTTCTATGTTTGAAAATTCCTCTTTCTCTATAGGAAAACTGTTCTATATACATTGGGGATCTAGTTCCATTGCCACGTATTGACTGACACACACTGGCAGAAAGAATTCACTGCACTCATTTCAAACTTTTCAGTGTGAACAGGGAAAAACCATGGTAAAGAGTCTGTTTTTTTAATTGATTGATAGATTGGATTTCTTCTGCATGGCTTAGATTTATCCTGATCTATTCCACCTTTCCAATAAGAAGCTCCAAATTTTCTCTGGGGAATTTTATTGCAGTTGTTTTTTGTTTGACAAAAGTAGGATACAAAATGGGACGAAAAGCATTCTTTCATAGCAGATCATACAATAAACACCCCGGGGACATTCTTGAAATGATCATAACTAGACTGTTAATGGAATCATAATATTATTAGGTTTTTATTCCACTTTTATGACTTTATAGATAACTCTATTGGTACATGAGTGAAAGAGTTCAGCTGAGATTGGGGAAATCCATGTTGTATTCTACCCTCATTCACAGAATCTCTCTGGGAGATCGTGGGTCACTCTCTTCTTTCACCTGATGTATGGCACATTATTATGTGGTAGAAAAAAAATGGAAGGAAGGATGCTATGTACACCACCTTGAGCTTCTGAAGGAAACGTGGGCTATAAATCCAAATTAAGAAAAAAAAAACAGATTAGTCCATCAGTGAGCTGATGTTCTTCACAG